CTCTCATATAATGATTGCCTGCTGAGGAAATGATGGCTAATTGAGCTTGAAAGGATGTAAGAGTAGTTAAAACACTACACTAGATTTGTATATGGCTTATTGGATGTGTTGTTACTATATCGCAAAGTATTTTAATAAATCGTGTTTAGCCTACAACTTGTCTATTTTCCCTAGTAAGTAAATGATAGTAAAAATTAAATTCGTTTGAAAACCTTCTTTATTTTTGCCCAGTCCCCCCCCCCCCACGCAGCCTCCTTGCAGAATTTCTTCATTTTGGGGGACAAAAAACTTTCGGGTAATTGATTGAAACATGTCAATCTCATGTCATCTTGATCGCTAGATTTTGGCAAAATTTCAAATTTTGGACAGCTAACCCCCAGGCAGCTCCATCTCAGACAATCGCGTGCAAAAATAATGAGACTTTTCACATTTTTGGCCATTTTAAAGTACGTCGGCCTCCCCCCTGCCCCCATGATCAATGTTGGAAAAAGTGGGTTGAATTTTCTCTTTTCAGTCATCCACACAACATTGAATTGGGGGTGAGGGTGGCACTTATGCGGTTGTCTCTAGGCTTCTACAGATTATGCTACGAAAATGCTGAAATTGTGCTCTAAAAATGCTCAAAAGTTGCTCGAAAGTTGCTCGAAAATTGAATAAGTTGCTCAAAAGTTGCTCGAAAATTGAAAAAGTTGCTCAAATGTTGCTCGAAAATTGAAAAAAAGTTGCTCCTAAAATGTCAAAAGTTTCTCGTAAACGAGTGGGTGCAAAGCAAGATATGACCGTATATTAAACACTGTAGGTAAATACAATAATAACAGTTCATAACTAACTATAGTTCTATATAACTATAAAGTCTTATAACAACTTAATGGCTAAAAAGCTATAAAATCAGTTAAGATTTATAACAGAATAACATACTGCAGCTATGATATCAAGTATATGTATTGATAATAGTGTATTACTATTAGGCACATGAACTTTCATGATACTTGCAAACTGCACCATTGTTGGGTTTGATAACAGTCATAAAATGAGCTTGCAAACTGGTCTGAACCGCCAGCAATTAGCAAATTAATGTAATTTGCAGTTATGGGGGTTGTTATGGATGTTTACAAATATGTCAAGCAGACTGCCACAGGATCTCCCAAACTGTAGAAGTAATGGTAAGCTAAAAAGTTTGTCAAATGGCCAAGGATAAGGAAAATATTTTCGAGCCTTGTCGTGCTATTCTTTCATAATTCATCATCATCAATCAATTTTATTTAAAATCAAAACACGCTAGTCTCGCACAACTAAAAGCTGATTTACAGGAGGGGCGTGATATATAAAACAGTAGAATATATGGAATATTATATGAACCCCCCAACCTCCCCCCAACAACAAATTGAGAAAAATGAAGTCAAGTAAATTAAATAAAGAGAGTTAACTATAATTAAGTCAACATGGTTCTAAAAGGACAGCTCCGCAATACTACGCTTAAATTGACTGAGCGAAGTCGCTCTTTTTGCATCTAATGGAAGATTATTCCACAGCATTGATGCGCTATATTTAAAGCTTCTCTTCAAAAAATTAGTTTTTGGTTTTGGAAGTGCTAGATCCGTTTCCTGATTTCGTAAATTATGGCGTCTATTAAGTTCACTAAGTCTTACAAGGCTTTCTCTTAAACATGGCGAACAATATACATCAGGATACTCTTCAACTTAGTTATGACAAAGAAAATGAGCTTGAAGAGAATATGGATCAAGGCTATCAAGCATTTCATTATCTTTCTATAAATAAAATTAGCCACATGGTCTATATTGCCAGAAATTTCCAAAAATTATGCATTTCCTGGAGGAAGTTGCTTGAAGTTGCTGATATCATAAAAAGTTGCTCCAAATGCAAAAAGTTGCCAAAAAGTTGCCGAGCATAATCTGTAGAAGCCTAGTTGTCTCACTAATTTTTGCTCCAGATTGTAGGTATGCTGATGAGCCCAGATATAGGGTGAAACAGTCTGTCATATGCTGAACATTGGCAATTGAAAAAAGTATGCCGTTTACACATCTGTAGTTTGATGAATAAAACATCTACACTCCCACGAAAATCGGACTATCATCCTGACGTCAAATGACGTCATGCAAAATGACGTCATCACGTTTTACGTCATCTATGACGTCATGGAATTTTGACTAATGTACGAAAAATCCTAGAACCGCCCCTGACAGATACCCATCAACTTGTCACTGAACAGAGAGAAGATGATGTGGCACTCAATAACTTCTTCAATCGTCAGATACTGAATGAGATTAATTAGCCTAATGCATGAGTAATGAGTACCGCCATGTCTCGCGCCAAGTGGAATTTTTGGTAATCGTTCCATGTTTCGAGCACCAA